TCTTTCCTGAAGGCCATGAGGGAGGGGGCACATTTTGGAGATGGGGAGAATGGAAATAAAAGAAATAGGCTTTCATTTTAGTCTTATTAGTGGTGATAGGTCAGTTTGGACAAACCTCCTATGTGTGGTGGAAGGAGCTGAGTAAGACAAACCTATCTTTTATCTAGCTCTACCACATGGGAATATCACGTTCATAATAAACCTCATAGGAAGGCTGAAACTGTGTATGGTATAGTACATGGCATGGGGCCAGGTTATATGCAGAACCACCTCTCCCTGAGAATATCTCCCTGTACTGCCAGGTCATATATGGGGAGTGCTCCAGGTCTCTTTCTTTAAATGTTGTCATCTATCAGGACCTAGGAAGCTGGTCTTCTCAGTAGAGGCCCCCACCCTTCTAGTCTTCCAGAAGAGCTTAAAAAGCTGACTCTTCACCCAAGTGTTGGGACAGAGTGAGGATGGAGCTCAGTGATTGTGATTATGTATTGGGAAGTGTTGTTTTTGGATACCAGGAGTTGTATTTCTTTGGATCCTGTTTTTTATTGCTGCTTTTATGTTTTGTGGTTGTTGTAAGCTGCTCAAAGTTATGACAGGTAAGGCAGGCGACCATATAAATCTCTTAATAAATACATAGATACGTACAGGTTGGCATTTTCAGGCATTTTGTGCAAGTATAATGTCCACTTATAACAAATCTAGGCTTAGATAGGGAGCCAATCTAATTCATTCCATAACCATTTTGTGAACACTGAACAATATTTGTGTATCACCAAGTATGGGGTGAGCCAATAGACATTTTTGGAGTGTATGTCCATTCTAGTTTTTAACTGCTGCACATGCTGACTCAACAAATATTCTTAAGGAATATTAATAACTTTTTTTTTTTGCTTATTTTCACAGATATCAAGAATGCTTTTCTTTTACAAGGGCCCAGGCATCAATGGATTTGTTCTACAGATAAAGACAAGTTTGCATGGCTTTCTGCATTACGAAGAGCAATCTACTGCAGTATCAATGAGGATGTAAACTGAATACAGGTAGTCCTCATTAAGTGACCACAATTGGGAGTGACAACTCTATCATTAAGTGAAGTGGTCACTAAGTGAAACAGACTGTGCTTATGATTTTACTTCTGCTTTTTTTTGCTTTACAAACCTGCAAAGGTTGTAAAGGGGAGGATTGGTCGTAAAGTTATTTTTCATCACCTTCATAACTGCAAATGGTTGCTGTATGAGGCAGTCACTAAATGAGGACTACCTGTATATTTTCCATGTGTTGCTCATGATCTGGTATGACTATTAATTGCAGTAATTGTTTATTATAAGCAGAATTAGTGTGAAATAAGTATATACAATGGATTATTACTGTAAACCACCAGGAATGTGGTTGAGTCATATGTTATCAATGTGACTAACAGACACCAGAAATTTTGAAGGAATACTACCTTATCACCAATAAGATACACCTTGCCTGACTTTGGACTTTACTTGTACAATAAAAGCTTTGTACCTGAAATTTTCAATTTTGCAGTAGAAATTATTCCAAACACTATCACTATGCTTGCATCCATATCTTGCATGAGTACTGGATAGGCATCTACAACCCTTGTACTGATTAGTGCCGGAGAAAATCTACAATCTAAATATTGTGTAAAAGCTGGAATCTATGGATTTGAACATGAGAATGTCAGGATTGAGCATGTGATACCATAGGGCAGGCACACTCTATACCCAGGTACTCATGAACTTCAAAATAAGTTTGTGAGAATAAAGTGGTTTTGTTTAAATGACTGAATCTAATATTTTTCTAAGGAGTGTAACTACCTTTCTGGTGCTTTCATTCATATATACATAGTTTCATGCAGAAGAAAATGTTTAGTAAAACAATAAACTACATTTGCTATGACTTGATATTCTTTTTATGCCATACAACATGTAGAAATGGATTAGTGAACCATTAAACTTAATGTGGGTAACTGCATGATGCATTACAGTTTATTTTGAATGTATTGTCTGTTTTGCATGTACAGTGAATGCTTTTAATGACTTTTTGGCCTCTTTCTAAATGTTTAACATTATTTTCTACTAAAAGGTTTGTTTTCAAATATTATCAGTGAATGTAGGACTGTGACCTTAGACTAGTAGGAAATTCTGTAACTAGACGAACTTTGGTTCCCGCAGAATGCTAAACATGTGTTTTACATTTTAACCTAGCATAATGTATGAACCCACCCAGTTCTAGTCTTAAAATAACTGACTCCATATTCAGTAAGAAGTTGTACACAAGTCCACTTAATTCTGTGTTACTGAGCCAAATTAAATTAACTCAAATTAAAATATTGTGCTGTTTTATTGTTGTAAAAATCACACAGTTGCTAGTTCTGATTCTGCTGAGATACTTCCATGCATTTTAACATCTATGATCCCACAGCCAGAATAAGCCATTAAATAGAATATCTGCTGTTAGTCAGCATTAATGCAAATTTACATATGAGATCAAAAGGTGTGTATTATACAATATACAACAAATCCTAATACAGTACATCAACCTGAATAGCAGGATACACTCAGGAAACTTTGTGTTAATAATGAAACCTGTCTACAAGCCAGAAGAATAATGCTTGGAGACATGAACAGAAATAACAACCCAACCCTTTAAGAAACACAAATTGGGGGTGGGGGTGGGGAGTTGAGGGGAAGGCTGGGAGAGTTGAGGTACTGACACATTTCTTGACCACAAAGTGTGTTACAGTAAAGTCTGGTGGATGTGTCAGTTTGTAAAGGGTAATGTGCAAAGCATGCAACTATATGTGGTGTTCAGGAAATGTGCATGACTGAGATCAACACCCAATCCTTTCACAGAAGAGAAACACTTGTGTGCAGACTGCAAAATGACGTCATGAATGCAAACATTTCAACAATAGTCAAGCTGTGGTCACATACACAATACATTAACAGGCAAGGACAACAGAATTTATCTGGTAATGGAACGTTGAAAAGAATGTGTGTGGGACTAGGAAGGTGTTGGGTTACTCAACAAAATACGCTACTGAAATTACTGATGATTTGCAAGACTGCAAACTTTGACTTAGGGATCAGTGATGACCACAGCTGGCTAATTTCCATTTACACAATAAGATAGATGTGTAAAAGGCATTTATGATAAATATATGTGCTTCTGTGATAAAGGTAGATATCGGGATGTTTTTATTCATGATCTTTCACGTGAAATATAGAAAATTCATTAAGTATTCAGTTCCAGTTTGGGATATAGGCCACTTAAGTTGTATAAACCTTGCTCCAACTTAAAAATTATGTCCTCCCAAGAAAATGGGAAGATTGGCAGTGCCAATATATTGAACATTCAAGGAAACACTTATTCCATTCTTTGTATTAAAATTATAAAAAGTTACTTAAATACAACTGTGGACAGAGGACAAAACAACCACAAAAAAAAAAAAGTTAAGAGTGCACTGAGTGAAACATATGGGATTTTGATTAGGCCTTTTACCCAATTTTCTGTTTCAGAGTTATTATTTCACAGTTAACGGCAATTGGTTTATAAGTGAGAGAAGGGTCGAAGCTGTTCCAGTTGAACCTCCAGTGAAATTCTCTCTTCCAGAACATCCTAGAAAGGAGAAATTTGCCATTTAGATACCACAATGAAAGTGTATTACTATATATATATCTATATATCTGATTTTAAGTTATACACAGAAAATTGTGTGTTTGTGCAAGTAATGTAAAACAGTGAACTTAGACACAATTTTTGTTTCAGTATGCAAAATTTCTGTCTAAACCAGTATTCTGTATATTTTTCTTGAAAACAGAACATCAATCAGTAATCCTGTTCAATAATCCTGTTTAGTGAGGAACACTTACGGTTTCTTTGCAAGTAAGAAAGTAAATCAATAAAGGGATATTGAACCAAACCATGTTTAAACAAAGCTCTTAATTTTCTTCTACATTTGGTAGACAGAAAATCTTAACTGGATATATAAACTCCATATGATGTCATAGTTTGTCTGTAGTGAGATTTGTTAGTCTTAAGAGTTGTTATCTTGAATATAGCTAATGCTGAAAACCCACTTTTACAGAGCTAAGTTGCTGGAAAAATATAGTAAGAATTAAAAGCTTATATTCTCTGTGAACTTGCAGTCCAAATCTTCTAATGACGATTGTTCCACCAACTGTTTTAATGAAATTTCTGAGAACAGATCTGTCAATATTTCCTCTTCATTCATACACAGGATACTTATGTGGCTAGTCAAACTGAATAGTTCTTTTCCCTTCTCCCCCCTAATTTTTGGATCTTGTAATTAGTTCAAGTATTTCCCACATGTTCTGAAGCCTCTGGTATTCTGCAGAATACAGCTAACTTAAACTATATGAAGTACCTGAGTCTCTAAGAGTAAATACAAATTAAAAGCATGAGCTATGGATACTGGGCTTTTCCTTTACAAGTTTACTAAACAGAAGGTACAGTACTGGATAAAAATGTAGGTTTGTAAAGTGTGAAAACACCCCATAATAACTTTTCAATTTTCTTACCTTTAATTGTTGCTGCAATTCACTGTTCAGTCTGGCCAAAACAGTATTGGTCTCCTTATTGCGCCTAATTGATGCCTGAATAGCTTTCTTGTCCTTTCCAACCGATCTGAGGGGATATTTCATGAAACAGCTTTCAGGAATTGCAGATTACTTTTTCCCCTAAAAGTTCAAGTTGTTCTGAATGCAATCATCATTAAATTCCTTAGCTCTTTAATGTGTTTAGTTGCACAGTTGTAAAGAATATATGCTTTTTATAATTTTGGCATTCTGTTTTCTCAGATTATAGAACTACTATTTAAAGCATTTAAAGCTTACATGCATTTACTTTTTTTTTCCATGAAAAGATCCCATGTAGACCAATTCAAATTATCTTTGAATTGTCCTACTTTGCAAGTTCCAATAGAAGAGAATATATGTAGCTCAAGGTTGAACTGTGGAGTCCTTGGTGCTCTCTGAGCTTGGCT